TAAACCAGCTAAACCAACGGAAGAACCAGAGCCTGCAGCCAACCCTAGTGGGGGATCATGACGAGCAAGCCTCGAGTACACTTCCAACAACATCAAACCAGAGCCCATCTTAGCGACGTACCGACCATCATCATCATAAGTAACATCGAAACTCTTCATTTCCGAGAAGTTGATGATGACACCTCCGTTGACTGTAGATTGTCCGATATAAGAGTGGCCACCATTACTCCTCAGAGCTACAGGAGTATCTTCCTCGTAACAGATCTTCAAGACAATAATAATATCCTCAGCTGAAGACACGTAAACCATAGCGGCTGGATCGTAACCATTGGCTTCATCAAATCGTGTGTTATATGGTGGGGGAATATCATTAGTTTGGACCTGTCCTGGAAGGGCGGCTATCAGACGATCGACGGCATCGTTGACGTCAGCCAAAACGAAGGACGACATGAAGGTGACGAAGAGCCAACGCAGAAGGAACATATGTAGGAACTCAAAATGCGAGAAACTACGTCGAAGATGAATAATTCCCAACCCCCAAGAATACTTTATTCGAACCACTCTCTGACCTACAAATCTTCACTTCATCAGACTATGTTCCTAGCCTCAAGGACAAGGACACAGCGTTTCATCACAATACTGAAGGCCTCACACAATATTCCAGGAGTACTCAGATAAGGTGAAGTGGTAGGGTATATAGCCACCATCGTGTATGCATACCTATTCATTCGAGCATTGTCGCTGATGTAGAGAACGAATTGTGGACTTCCAAAACGGTTAGGAACATGTTTTCGGCCAATTTTCGGGATTTCCCCCATCATAGTCTCAGCGGGATCTTAGGAACGTTATTTCTGAGAGCTGGATGACTCCCTGGTAGAGAAAACTATCGTTTGATTTATACCGCGGCTGGTGGAAAAGAATCGACTCTGTAATGTCTCGGCGAATGTAAGAAAGATGTACCATTTTGAAGCACTCTTCCTAATGGAAGTTGACTCATCTCCATAAGTTATGGCGATATCGAGTTTATGGTATGTGCATTTTTCCTATATATTAATGCAACACCACTGATGTAGGGAAAATTTTCGCTCGGTTACTGGTTCGCGAGTACTCAAACTTCATTCATGCATTGACTATACCACTGCAAGTTGATAATGAATAGTGATTCTCAATGATCACAGAGACACGCTTTCCTTCAGTGTTGGAATATATGTTTGCTTTCCTCAGCTGAGTTCAGGGGTTTCCTCACTAAATCTAGAAATTAACTCGAATTTGGGTAGAAGTGTACAGAAACCAATCAGAATTTCCCAGAAATTTTCTTAGGATCCTCATATTGTCACCGACACATGTAATTGCTCATATGCATTGCTTCCACTTTTATGTGATTTAACTTACCACTCGGGTGTATGTGAGCTTCCCAAATGTGTAGTAGGTTACCGCGGATAACTACTCAGAAACGCAAGCCCATTGGAATAAGAGACGAATTAATAAGTATTCAAACAAATGTCACAATCACTAAACATCTCATATGCATCAAGCTGTCTTAAGCACACTCTTCGTAGTCGCTCGCCGAAGAAACCACTGTAAAGCCAATAGACCAGCAGACACGCAGGCTGCCATACCGAATGTGCAATCAAATCGTAGCTGCATCGAAGTGAAGTCAACCTAGAGCAACGTCAACCAGTGAGGGAGTACATGCGTATGGTCAATTACATGTGCTGGTGAAAATATGGGAATTTTGATAAAAATTTGGGGGAAAATTTCTCATTGATTTCAGTGAGGAAGCTTCTAAACTCAGCTGTGGACATCAGACATATTTCCCAACACAGAGTGGAAGAGTTGACCAAGACTTACTTTGTCACCGAGGAACCTCTCAAGTTCTACCCTGGCTTTGCTATGCAACGGCAACGCCATCCGCATCATCAACGTACACGTACAGAAATACAACAACATCATCTGAAAATACTGGAGTTTCACCCTAGTGATATGAAAAACATATTTCACGACTACTGCATATCACCGCGAATAACGCGCTCTTTCGCAGAGTATTACGCCACTTCACTTGAAAAGGGTCGTGAAACTCCATCATTTAAGGAACAGATGTCCGCTCTCCTCACTAGTCGTAGCAGTCAGAGTAAAAATTCATAAAAACCAACGAAAATTTCCCAAAATTTCATCAGAATTTTCATATTCCATATTCCCCTCCACATTTTCTGAAAACGACATAGTCCCATGAAATCTCCAACATGATTTTCCCTAAAATTTCTCGACGGCTCACCTGTGCCATGATTATTGCTATCGCAGCATTGGCTTTCTGTGACGACTCCATACCAGCGTGCCTGAGAGTTATCAATCGATCGACAAGTAACCATCATGAAATCCAACTTTTGAAAATGCCGCAACGACTGCTATTTATGATATCATATAGATAATGATAGAGTCTTCTCTTTCCCTTTTTATTCTTGTATTTCGATAATTATTACTCTTTAATTTTTTCATTTTTACCAAATTTTTGTTTTCCCATTTTTTCATCAAATTATTCTATCGAAGACTAAGAACACTAGATAGTATACTCCCGATCACAACCCTTTAACAGTAACCCCACTTCCCTTACGGTTGCACCAGTCTGAATATTGACAATAACTGCGAGATACAGTTCCTTGTATTGCTGATGGTCAGATGCGTGATGAAGAGGACAGTGAGAAGCCGTAACCAATATTGGACGTCAATTTCCAACTGAATCACCAAAGACAATAAATTCCGCCTTAGATGACTTACCCTACAGGAGTGTACAAAATAGAGGCCGCCAACAGACGCTCTATGAGGCTCCTCTCAGTAACACTGCCGTTTACGAAGTTACGCGAGGAGGTGACTATTTTATACGAACATACCACCGACATGATCCACCCTGAGAATAAGTAAACATAGTAATATCACACGAGTCCTAGTGTAGTCGAAATCGACTATATTGAAAATACGCACATGTGTCGGTGACACTGTAAAAATTTCGAACAAATCCTGGGAATTTTTTTATGGAATTTCTAAACACCTTTACCCCAACTCATGTGATTAGTGTGGAAACTCCTGAGCTCAGCTGAGGAGAGCGAACATTTATTCTCTCAATAGAGACGATCATAAAATCTCTATACATATATTGTTACACTAACTATTGATAAGCAATTATGAAATATTCATTTATACTGGAGTTTAACTACCCATTTTATATAAGGTGGCGTAATACTCTGTGGAAAAACGCGATATTCGCGGTGATATGCAGTAGTCGTGAAATATATTTCTCACTAGTGTTTTTCATATCACTAGGGTGGTGAACTCCATATACTATATTAGTAAATTACATAGCCAACCATATCAGATAATATGTATCATTAGAGTTGCACCACCTAGTGATATGAAAAAACTAGTGGCATATATATATCACGATACTTTTATCACCGCCAAAATTGCCGTTTTCACCGAGTTTTACGCCACTTCACGTAGACGGGTCGTGAAACTCCATCAATATGAAAAGATAACATTATAATACAAGCAATCGATTTATCTCCATAGATATATATAACTATACGATAGCCCATTGACCTTATCAAGACATATATTATATATATAACACCGCTGTTATGAATCCACAGACTTCTTGGCAAAAACTCCCTTAATACGCCAAGAAAAGAAGTAGTAAAAAAAGAGCACTTGCTTACCCCAGACGTTTTTCAAGCGGCCGATACATGTCGCGGAATAGAGCATTCTTTCCCGCTCATCAATGAGCTTCTCCAAATTGGTATGCATCTCGACACCTGCTATAATACATCGCACCCTAGAACTACAGGTGAGTGTAAAAATATGAAAACTATGGGGAAAATTTTTGGAAAATATCTTTGATTTTTCTTGCACTTCTACCAAAAATCGCGTGTGGATTTCCATAGTGTAGCGGCGAAATTTACGAACTCAGTTGAGGAAAGCAAACATATATTTCCAGACTGCCACTTGCGTGCCCCCACTGAATGTAAACTGGCGTAAAACTCCGTGTAAAACGCGATATTCCAATTCCATAAAATATATTTTTCATATCACTAGGGTGAAACTCTTACTCATAGACTCCAAGGCTTCAATTTCATACAGCATTTCCCGCTCGGACGTTTTTCCGCCCGAACCACCACGTAAAATCCATCCTAATGCATTCGATAGATACCCTGAGGGGAAAATAAAAAAATTTTTTCCAGAGCAAAATTTTCTGCTACCATCATTTTTGCTATCTCTAGAGTTCGCTTGATGAGTTCCTTGTAGAACTGTCCGTTTTTTCTCCCCGATCAGCTGCAGTGTATGCAATAGTCGTTTTTGTTGTTCTCGTAGTTGCCTCTCGGTGACCTACGGGAGGGGAGGAAAATATACACACATACGTTGGTGAGAATTGGAGGGAATTTTGGTAAAATTCTTGTTGGTTTTCGTACATTTCTACCCGAATTCAAATGTCAAACTGTAGAGTTTGTGAAGAAACTCCTAAGCTCAGCTGAGGAAACTCAAATATATATTCCTCCAACACTGAGGACCTGATACGACACCGGGCATCTCACACTAGGGCATTGGCACAACAATTTTTTATTCGGATAAATACCATACCATAATTAACGCCGCATTATGTGACTCGCTAGTCCCCTAGTGTAACTCCCCTGAGAATTGCTACGAATCATACTAATGCTGGTGAAGGAACATATGTTCGTCGCCTTCCTCAGCTGAGCTCGGAAGTGTCCTCACTTATTATACAAGTTTACACACGAAAAAATGCTCAGAAACTAATGAGAATTTCCCGAAATTTCCTCAGAATTTTCTTATTTTCCCACCCAGATAGAAGTAATGAATCCCACACCAGCAACTCACAGGGTTCATCAGCCTCGATATGTTAGCATAAGGGAACTTTACCGCTCCATAACCAGATACTATAGCCACCAGCACTACTCCAATAGAGCCAGTCGTTGACAATAGGAAACCCTCACCTGCGTAAAATGGGAATATCACCAATCGGAAATATTCCCAAAATTTTTCGATCCGTATCGCGAAGCCGTTGCTTCATACGTAACGTTGAGCTAACCGTATTCGCCTCCTATTACACCGAAATTGATACACGAACTCTCCGGCTGATACTACATGGGGAAAAATATGCACATGTTCAACTACATATGAAGATTTTGAGGAAGTTTTGGAGAATTATAATTGGTTTCTGTACACTTCTACTATAACTCATATAATAAGTATGGGAACTCCTCAGCTCAGCTGAGGAAAGCGAACATATATTCCTACTCCAACACTGTATAGGAAACTCCTGAGCTCAGCTGAGAAAAGCGAACATATATTCCTACTCCAACACTGTATAGGAAACTCCTGAGCTCAGCTGAGGAAAGCGAACATATATTCCTACTCCAACACTGTATAGGAAACTCCTGAGCTCAACTGAGAAAAGCGAACATATATTCCTACTCCAACACTGTATAGGAAACTCCTGAGCTCAGCTGAGGAAAGCGAACATATATTCCTACTCCAACACTGTATAGGAAACTCCTGAGCTCAGCTGAGGAAAGCGAACATATATTCCTACTCCAACACTGTATAGGAAACTCCTGAGCTCAGGTGCTGAGGAAAGCGAACATATATTCCTACTCCAACACTGTATAGGAAACTCCTGAGCTCAGGTGCTGAGGAAAGCGAACATATATTCCTACTCCAACACTGTATAGGAAACTCCTGAGCTCAGGTGCTGAGGAAAGCTAACATATATTCCTACTCCAACACTAGAGCCATAACACACCAGCACTGTCCACAGCAAAAGTTTGATTGTCAAATAACTAATCTTGCAAGATTAGTACTCAAAGTATGTCTGTTTCCCATCCTGCAATTCGTATCCTACCCTAGCTTAGCAACGTATAAGGGATACATAATTACTACTAATAAGTTGGATCACTGTCGAGTTAATCTGACGACTCCTCCTTCTATACTCTCTTTATATTACCCTGTCTCATCGTCCAGCACACTATAAGCACAGCTAGACCTCCGCAGCTGCCCAGCTGTAACCAGTGCCGTAGTGATGTATTTTTCCAACGGAAACTCGAACCTGGGCACAGATCTAAATGCGATATACTCAAGTGATGGTACCGTAGGATCGAACAGGACATGCTATGATTAGGAGAGAGAGTGGTAGGAGGACATACACCATGAGTAGGATGCCATTCAGGCAAATACCTACAAAAATGCACAACGTGGGGACAGAACCCGGGACACACCCATGCAAGCGCAAGGTACTGACCACTCGACCAATATTACTCCATGCAATCATCCTCGCTCGTTCATCCACCAAGGGACCCAACTGTAGACCCAATAAGAGGATCAACAAACAGCTCAACGAAAACGCCAGAGAGAAATCTCCCGCTGCTAACATCACCGACGAGGACATACTCAGAGGAATATCCCGGAATAATACCCTTCGTGAAAACCATCTGAATAGAATTACAAAATGGAATCCTCTACGTATAGGCGTCTGGGACACTTTAGCAGCTCGAAATCCAAAACTAGTGAGTTCTGTACGGGTCTATCATCATTGTTAACATGATGAACACGTTGACCGAAAGTTCATAAACGAATAAATCTGATATTCGCACCTTTGCTCCTCACCTGAGCTCAAAAGTTTCGTCACTAATTATACAAGTTCACATACGAGTTGGAGTAGAAACGTAGAGGAACCAATGGTAATTCCCTAAACTTTTCATAGTGTCACTAATACATGTAGTTGATGACCCTGTGCAAATTTTCCCACAAGCTGCCATGGTTTTTCGCAAGTACTTTTGATCGAATCAGTTCGGACGAGCACACCATTTAGATCTGTGGAGTTTCACCCGTTTTACGCGAAGTGAAATGTGTTTTTCACACCACTAGGGTGAAACCCCCTTTATTACATTCCCCCCCACAAAAACATCATCCATGTCGCAGTTATAGACATAACACCAGTCGTGTTTCCGAGTAACACCTGTGCAGATTGAGGTTCATTCGAGGCTGCCATTTTCGAGGAAAGTGAATATCTAAACATTCAAGGATCATATCCGCCTTCCCATGATGACAATGAAACTGTTGCTAATCACTATTTAGTACTACTGAGGTTTCTACCCAACTCTATAGGAGTGATGATTTCTAGTATACACAGATACAGTATCTAGATGAGCATCATATCAAACCATACGTTTTATACAATGCGACGCAAACAGTATGTATGCATATGTAGATTTCCGAGATGGCTAAGTTCTTCAATTTGAGACTAGTACGACTATAGACTACGTAACGCTTCTAAAACGTTGGTGTCAATCGATTCACATTGTTATCATGTTGATATTATATGAGCTCCGCTGGATCCAGTATTTACAATAAACGATTGTGTTATATCAACAATGGACGATGATGTTATATCAACGGTGAACGATTATATTATATCAACGGTGGACGATTATGTTATATGAACGGTGAACGATGATGTTATATCAACGGTGAACGATTATGTTATATCAACGGTGAACGATTATGTTACATCAACGGTGAACGATTATGTTATATCAACGGTGAACGATTATGTTATATCAACGGTGAACGATTATGTTATATCAACGGTGAACGATTATGTTATATCAACGGTGAACGATTATGTTACATAAACTGATTCACAACACGACTCTGCTCCACCTTAATAAAATTATGTGTGAACATCTCGTCTTTTGAATACACATTACATGTTAAATGCCGATAAGGTAAAAAGAAGCCCAATTAAACTACTATCACTCCCATCGGTGGTCACAAGCTATCATAACTGATAATTGAATATCAGGTAACTTTTACTCCTTCTCTAGAGTGATGATTCCGTCCAATACTCTTGTCTTGATGGTATTAGTGTAACCGTGGTAGTAGAACGTGTGGAAATCAGGTTCCTTCAACTGGAGTCTCGGACATACCATTCTGATGTAAGCTAGGTAGGCCCGATATGGATTCGTGTCGGAATGAGCAATTTCGAATACATCAAATCGCGTCCTCACAACCTTCAAAGGCAGTGACTCGTAATACTTACCAACGCCACATGAAACGCTTAGTTCGACCTCAGGCTCCTCAGCGGCAAAACTAGCACCAACAGTCGTAACATTAGAGACCTTCTTAGCATATTTCCCGTTTGGTGGGGGAGGCCTTGCTAGGGAGTGAACGGTGAGGAGGGCAATAATGAGAGTAAACATCATGATGTATACTAAAAATCATATACCACTAAGGAGTTCCGAACTGGAGGAGAACTCACTGCTTGAGTTCACTACCCCAAGCCTATCAATTTCTTCACGACCACATTCCTCTGATTTTGCGAAATGTTAGATAACTCCATTTTTACCATTGGAATAACACCACATTGAATGTCATTGCAGAGGGATGTCTTAAGAGACAACGGCCGAGTTAGATTATCTTCATCATAGATTCAGCAAAGGATTGCTTCACCCGAGTGTGCTACGGGATGTAAGGGGACTGTAGAACCCAACATAGAAGTGTAGGTGACACCAGATAGGTAAAAACCGTCGAACGGAATAAAATCCTTAAGGTATCTCGGGCAACATCTGTCTCGTCTCATCTGTCGCGTCTCATATAAATAGCGCACGTCATTTTAGTAAGACGCGTGCATGTGACTTATGACAGGAGACGTACAGATCACGGTTCAGATGTGCCCTTACAGGACACTAGACATGGGCGATGAGATGATGCACCATCATCTTCCAGGCGTGAAGG